GGCTGCAGTGAGCTATGATCATGCCACTGCACGCCAATCTGAACAATAGAGCAAGACCCTGTCTCCAAGACAACAGAAAAAGAAAAACTATAATTAAAAGAATGTCATTTGGCATATCATAAAGAAGTTCCCAGCAAAGAGAAGTATTCAATCAGAGGATGAAAAAGCCTTCAGGAAGGAAATGGAATTTGAGACCAAATTTGAAAATGAATGAGCTTTTATTCAAGAGAAGTAAAGAGAAGGAGTACATTCTAAGGAGAGGCAAGAGCATAACTTGGGCTGACTTTGGGGAATAATATAAAAGCAAGGTTATTGCAAAAGGTAGAGAACATACAGAATTGAAAAAGACAGGCTCAGTCTATGGAAAGCCACTGTATTCATAAGTATTCTTTTGATTACAAGTGACCAAAAGTCCAACTAAACCAGAAAAGAGATGGTACTAGCTGAAACAACTTAAAGGCTACTTTAGACTTTTTTTAGTGTTGGTTTATTTAGTGGCTCAAATTTTGTCTCCTGGAGCCTGCCTGGATTCTTTTCCACCCAGGTTGTTTTCCTTTTCAGGATGGGTGTGCTGGATTCTGGCAGTTCCAAGCTAACGTCATTAGAACATCCAGGCCAGAGGACGAATCACTCTGCTCCCAAGTAGTCCTGGAGCTGAGTTCATTTCCCTGATCGGCTGATTGGGTCATATCCCCATCTCCAACTGTGGCCAGTGAGGATGGAACACACTGTTTGGCTCAACTTGGGTGCCATGTTGCACCCCCAAAGCCTGGTAGCAAAATGTTTCCTATCACAGAAATGGACCAGAGAGAGAATGAGATGGTTCTTCAAAGCAAAGAACCTTGAGAAAAAAGGCTTCCTGCCACTAGAAGAGAATGTGGCTCTGGACAGCAAATGATTTTCCGTGACTATGAATAAAAAGCTGAAGTCTGGGGACATCAGTAGGCAATGGAAGGCCATGAAAGATTTCTGAACTGGGCAGTGTTGTGATTAATGCTGACCTTTATAAAATTAATCTGGCTGCGATGTGTATGATAGGGTGGCATAGGAGGTGGATGGAGGTGATAAACTAGCTTTACGTGATAAGAGGTTTATGGCATCTGTGCTAGGATGGCAGTGGTAAAAGTAGAAAGAAGTAGCCAAAAGCAAGAAATACTTTTGTTCACAAATGTTTTCTCACTGGGACTCAGAAGCTCTAGAAAGTACACTTAATATTAAAAGCGATACTGAATCACTGAAAGAACATTGTCCTAAAGAATAAACATATGTAGTGTGACTTCTTAAATGAGTTTAATAGGAGGCCCAGCTCGGAGGCGTCCGGCTTGTTTGCTCATTGGAAGAACGCTGCTGCCACCTCCTAGCCATCAGCGTCCACCTGCTTTTCTTAGTCACAATTATTGAGCTGTATCGGCTGGGTTGGCTGTGTGGGCTTCCCACTTTTTCCAGATCAAATGCCCTGAGCACCAGCTAATTTCATTCAATGTCTTGAAGAGACAAAAAGGGAAAGTGGGCAAACTTTAACAAAATGTTCCTCCTTCTGATTGAACAACAAAAACCAACTAGTCATTTTAATTTCGGTCTACAGCTATCTTGACGTTTGTTCTCACCTACACCATCTTTTAGCATCAGGGTTTGAATTGTACAGATTATAAAAGTGATTGAATCATCAAAAGACTCTTATCTCTGATTTTTTAAGTCCACAAGAACACTGACCTCATCATTATTACTCAGCTTTTTCAAAGATTTAATAAATCCTGAATTTTCAATACCCATTTGATATGCAGGAGGATTCACTTACTAATTAAGCAAAATTAAATTTCGTCAATATAAAATAGATGCTACTGCTACCTCTCAATTATTTAATTGTATTACAGTGATTAAAATTGCAGTGGTACTAAGCACATTTCCTGCTCTAAGAGAGCTGAATGTGCTATGCTTTTATGCCAAATCCACTGACCACTCAAAATACGGGGAGATTATTTTATAAACGGAGTGCAGTATGAATTGCGTTTCTCTCGTGGTACTGAGGTTGCTCATGTGTTATCATTTCAAAAGGCAAAAGCTAGCTTTGCCACACATTTACATGAGTAAATAAACCTTCTAGGCCACAGGGCTGCTCAGATTTTATGGTGCATACAAGCACCTGGGGATCTTGTTGAAATGCATATTCTAATTCAGCAGGTCAGAAATGGCACCCAAGAGTCTGCATTTCTTACAGAATCCCAGGAGATGCTGATGCTGCTGGTCCACACAACACGTTCTGAGTTACAAAGGTTTTCAAATTTAATTACAAAATAAGTATTTTGTAAAATGTTGTTCTGGACTTATATTTATCAGGCATACATTGTTTCTGAGGAAAATAAAGACAATTCAAATCTCATTCCTATTCTAAGAAATATTCCAGGAAAGTGAAATTTGAGGTTAACCAATCAGAAACCACCAATAACCTCGAACTATGGACTTTCCATTAGAATGATCCAAATAAAGTCGGTATTCCTCTTTAACCAAATAATTTCTTTGCTCTGCTTCCACATTAACCCCATAAAATCTTTCCCTTCAGCGACTTCCGGCAGAGTCCCCAACTGCTTTCCGTCTGCTGCTGCCTGATTCATGAATGACTGTTAGCTAAAAACCCTTTAAAAATTTAATGTGCCTTAGTTTATCTTCTAACAGAAGGAATAAGTGTGAAGAGGAATTCTTCACAAAGGAAAGCAGTCACTCCTGAGACTGGAGAATGCAGGCAGTAACTCAATGAGTGACTCGGTTTAAAAAGAGAGTGTGTTGGGTTCCAGCGCCCACTCTGAGCAGTTGCCACTCTGATCCGAATGCCTTTATGGCTGCTGCTCCTTGAACCTGTCGTTAGGTAATAATAAGCATATGATGGATTGAAACATTTGGCCCTATTGTTACTTCACAGATTTCTAGTGCTTTCGAATCAAAGCACTAGAATTTTCCGTTTTTCTATCAACATGATAGTGTTCTGTGATAATTAGTCTCGTTTTAAAATTGGCAGTACTTGAGGTCTCAGAAAATCAGTCCTCATCTTTTCTGAACTGGGAAAAAAATGTCTGTTTGCATATTCATATATCATGGTTGGCGATTTACAACTTCCATTACATGCATTCAGTCCTCAGCAGCTCTGTGTAGCATGCTAGGTAGGTATTTACCTTATTTCAAAATGGAGAAAAGAGAGACTTGGCACACTTGCCCAAGAGAGCAGTGAGGTGGTAACATGGAGCCAGCACCTCTGCCTGCTGACTCCTAGTTCTGTGCTTCATCCTGTGAGGAATAATCCAACAAGAACTGGACGGCGCTTTACAGTTTACAGTGCTTATGAACATATCTCAGTTTTCAGGATAAAAACATAAGGGTTTTTTTTTTTTTTTACAGAGTTTAGACATGAAAAACTGATGTCCAAAGTAGTAGAAGGAAATTGTCCAAGGGTAACTACTGGTGGAATGTAATAGGAATCTGTCTCCTGCTTACAAGTCTTAGTACCTTTGGGTTTATTCGGTTGGTTGTTTTAGGACCTCAGATGCATTGAATTGGTTCAGTTCACATTCTCCTCATCAGTCCATCCGTTTTATTTAGTTATGCAGTAATTTTTAACAGGATGCTAAATGTCCTATGAATCACTACCCAGCATAGAAACTAAGACATTAACAACTAACCTTTATGTAAAATGCTTCCCTGTCTCCTTCCCTGCTTCCCCTCACCCAGGGTCACCGACATTGTGAACACTATATTCATTGTTCCACTGCTTTTCCTTTTTGTATCGTTGTGTATTCGTACACATTTACATTTCTAGGGAGTTTATAGTCTCATTTTTTAGCTTTATAAAAAGCATACTATGCTATATGCAATATTTTGGGGATTATATCATGCCGTACATATAATTGAAGATGTTTTTACCAACAAAATGACGTAATCACGGTCTACACCACCCCGTGGTGTGTGTGTGTATATATGCGCATTTATTGTATAGACACATCAAACGAACCGGTGTCAATGCACTCTTTGTACGTGCGTGTGTGTGCATGTGTGTGTGCGTGTGTGTGTGCGTGTGTGCGCGGGTCTGTGCGTGCGAGTGTGCGCATGTGTGCGTGTGTGCGCGCGTGTGTGAGTGCGTGTGCGTGTGTGTGCGGGCGTGTGTGCGTGTTCGCGTGTGTGCGCGCGTGTGTGTGCGTGCGTGTGTAGCAGCAAAGGTCTGTTCCTTCAACAAACATTTAGTGGGTGCCTGCCGTGTGTCAGGAAGTACTAAGCACCTTCCTGAGCACTCCCGTGCAAAAGCAAGTGCAACACTGCACCCCGAAAATGTCCCTGACCTCAGGGACATACCGCATAGAGGGAGAGACAGACAGTCAGTTACACGTGGAAAACACACAGGACGTCGGTGCGGGCGCGCGCAGGGCCTCGGGGACTCGGGGTCGCCCTCCAGAGCCGGGCGCGGGGGGCAGCGGAGGGAACTTTGGAGAACGCGTCCGCACCGAAGTCAACTCGCGGCCCCGCGCCCGGCCTCAGCCCGCAGCACGCCGGGCCCGCGCCGGCGCTTCCCGGGGAGCGCGCGCCCTTCCTCCGCGGGGACCGGCCGCGCCGCACCTGGACCCACGCCGCGCCGCAGGCGTTTCCCGCCCGCGCGACCCCCGCCCGCCGGCCCCGCGCCCGGCGTGCGCGCGCACCCGAGCACCGAGCACGCGCGTGGGGAGCGCGCGCCGCCCGGGCCGAGCGCGCGCCGCCCGGGCCGCCCTCGGGGAACGCGCGCGCGTGCCCGGCCCTCGGCCTCGGCGGCGGCGGCGGCGCCCACGTCAGGCTGGGCGGAGGGAGCGCCGCGGAGGGAGCGAGTGCCAGGCGGCCGGGCGGGCGGCGAGGGCGCGTTCCGCGGGGACCCGGTGAGCTCCGGAGGCGCCCGGCGGCAGGACCCGCGCCGGCAGGAGGGCGCGGCCCACCCGGCTCCGGCCCCGCGCCCCCCGCGTCCCCCGCGACCCCCGCGCCCCCGCGTCCAGCTTCAGCACCGCGCGCCGAGGACAGCTCCCCGCGCCGCCGCGCCGCCAGGGGCCGCCGGGAACTCGCGCTCGCGGGCCGGGAGCACGCGAGACCCCCGCCGAGCGCGCCTTCCCCGCGGCTGTGGCGGGCGGGTCCGCGCGGGAGCGTCCGGCGGCCTCCGGAGCCTGCGGCCCCCGAGCAGCATGTACCAGGGACACATGCAGGTGAGACCCTCCGCGCGGCTCAACAAGTGGGGCGCCCGCGGGGTCCCGGCGGGAGGGTCGGGGGGACCCGGGGCCGCCGCCGCCAAGTTTGTTTTCTGTGCGTTCCCGAGACCGTTTCCTGAAACGGGACCCGGGACCCGCGCGAGGGGAGACCCCAGGGTGACCCCGGGACGCTGAAGGGCGAGCGGCGGCGGCGGCATTTCGTGTTTTAGAGTCAGAGACCGTTTTGCGCGGTGCGCCCGCCGCAAGTGGCGGGACGCGGACCTCTGCCCGCCGGTCGCGGGACGGCCTGGAGGACGCGCGTCGGACACGTCCGAAGCTCCGGCGCGGCTGTCCCCGGTCCCCGCAGACCGCTACCCCAGCCTCGACCCCGGCTCTCGAAAAAGCAGGGAGATGCTCTGGGGGAAAAATGAAACGCTCGCTCGGCTTCCTCCGGCGTGAGCGGAGCCCGCGGCCCCGGAGCTGTGCAGGGTCGGGATCGGTGTCCGGGCTTCCCCTCCCTCCGAAGGCGGTCGCACGCAGTCCTGATGTGCGATGCCGGGACCCTGCTGTGCAACATTTGTGAATACTGAGGATTTTCTGTGTCTTTTAGAGCCATTGGAAATAGGTAAATGTGCTGTACATTTATAAGTTAGTACTAGCCAGTATTTAATCTCCGTACTTTAGGGAAATTCTTTTGGACTTCATTTTTATATAAAAACTATTTTATCATCGTCTCAGATTTTATGAGAATTCTCAATACGCAGTACCAGTGTTCCAAAAGATTTCCCATATTACTAACATCATCCTGCTTTGAAACTTATTAATGTAATTATATCACATTTTGATAGACAAAAATTACTGAACAAAGTATATTTTTCAACATTATGTAGAATCAATGTGATCTGCGTGTTTCTTGTAAAAGCTACACCAATGGAAAAGTTTAGTAACAAAAAATTCAAATAATGACTGCTGAAAAAAATCAACAAAGAATTATTACTATACTTTTATTCTTCATCTTCACCCAAGAATGATAATTTAAATTTTATATGTTATCTGTTTTTTAAACAGTTTCTTCACAAGGGTAAAACAGGAAGATTTTAATAGAGTCAACCGTTAAAAAACTGTTTATTTACACAAAATTGGCAATTGACCACTAAGGGGAAATTTACAAAAACTTTGCATGGTATTGTTTTGTTGTTTAAAAAATATGTTACTGTGAATGAAGAATCAAAGCAACAATATGGTAAATTCATGCACTCAGAAACAATTTTAGCTCAGTTTTCTCAATATTTCAAAGGAGAATGTTATTGAAACTTGAGTTGCCTAGAACAATGTCTGAGGGTTTCATTTCACTTAGAATGAATAGACAAAATACAAGTCTTTGCATATTCTCCCGACTTAATGTCTTTTGCTTGTGCACTGCTGCAACATTAAATACGATGACTTGCAGTAAAACTCACAGATCTTTGCTGCCAAGCTTAACTTAAAACATTACTAAATAAAGATTGTAATCAATGTGTCCGCCAAAATGTCAGAGCATAATACTTTTTTCCTACTTACTATTAACCATTTATGTTAAACATAAAACTTCTGAGGCCTTAGTAGTTCATTCAATAGCATGATTATCTGAATGGGCATCTGCTCCCCCCAGCAACGACAAAAAATGCCTATTACAGATTGATTTATAATGTACTTGTTGGCTTACATTTCTCAAATCTCTTCCCCAAAGAATACTATTTAGCCTATAGGCAAAATTTCTATTGTGTTGGTATACTTAAAGAACGTTTCCTTTATCAGAGATAGGATCATCTTCCTGTATGTACCTGACTCTATCACAGATAAGAAGAAACATATTCCCAACACTCCAAAACATTTATAATTAAAATCTGAATCTATATTTGGTAAAGTGGACCAGGAATAAGCAGGCATACTAACATTTCTGCCAGCTTTAGAGTTTATTTGAAACTTAATGTTACTTCACTGATATCTTAAAGCAAGAGTGAGAACAGAAATATTTGCATTCTAATTGGTTTCTGTATCCAAGCGATTTTAAAATAAAGTGCTTTGTAAATTAGCAGTTTGAAGTAGGGGCAGGTGTTCTCAGGAAGACTTAAAAATAGTCTAATTTAAAACTCCTGTGGTGCCTTTGTTTCTGCAACTTAATGAATTTGCAAATAAAGTCTATTAATTCTCATACATATGGCTAATTCATCTGCTTATGGTAGAATTTGAATTCATTTTAGAAACCACAAACTTTTAAAAACACACATTTGGTTTGTTCTGCTAACTCATTAGAAGATAAAATTTGGCATCTGTTACAGATAGAGCATAGAGTAACAGATATTTCTTGGTTTCATACTAAAAGCCACAGGTATATTCTTATGAGCAGGGTCCTGGAGCTGTATTTTTTTTCCAGTTGCCTTACCAATTATTTCCAGTGGGAATTAGTCACCGCAGTAACTGAAGCAAAGATTGCTTTTGTAGTGACTGTTTTAGGTTTGTTTTTTTTTTTGACCAAGGATACTGATGATGATTCAATATATTTTAGCATCGGTTCTGACAAGACTCTCTATTGATCATAGATGGCCTGTGGTCTTAATTCCACCAGTACCTCTGTATGTTCAGGGCTGAGGTGATTATTTTCATATGTGCATATGAGTTAACATTTCCAGTTAGAGCAAATTATTATATGTCTCTGAATATTTTCTTAACCAAGCTGTTTTTTTCTGGGGTGGTATAAATAGAAATATAATTTCAATTTTCTACTAAAATTTTTTGAATTGTTATTGAAGAATCCAGAGTAATTGGTTTTATTCTTAAAAAAGAAAGTTATTTCAGAAGGCAATCAGACAAAAAATTTCTTTGTAATTGTAACCAATCTTTATTATAGGCATTCAAGGCAGACTTTTTGACTTATTCAAGCTGTCTGGGGAATCCTTGCACACCCTCTAGCTTCACAAGACATAAACTAAAGAAAATTTAAATAACAAAAATTATAAGATTATTAACAGCTTGAAAAGTAGCCATTTCCCACCGCCCCCAAGGGAGTTTTGCATTTGTTTTTACATATGACTTTACTTAAGATTTTTCATAAAATCTTTACAAAGGTGAATAGCTTAGGTAATATAAGTGATGTTAGCACATTAGATCTCGCCCCTGGGGATTTATTTAGGCTCACTAGAAACAACATGCATGAGAAACCAAGCGAAGGTAAGACTGTAGAATGTTGTTTTCAGTACCATAAGCAGTAGGTTATCATAAGTGAGGCCCTCAGCAAAACTGTAAGGCAGATGATACTTATCATGGGTACTTCTACCTCTCTAACAGATCCACATTTTCCCCTCCTGATGCCACCTTTTTTTTTCTTGAGACGAGGTCTTGTTCTGTCGCCCAGGCTGGAGTGGAGTGGCCCGATCTCGGCTCACTGCTTTCTCTGCCTCCCTGGTTCAAGCAATTCTCTCACCTCAGGCTCCTGAGGAGCTGGAACTACAGGTGCATGCCACCATGCCCAGCTAATCTTTGTATTTTGTGTAGAGACGGGTTGTCGCCGTGTTGCCCAGGCTGATCTCAAACTCCTGAGCTGAAGCGATCCACACAGCTTGGCCTCTCACAGCGCCAGGATTACAGGCATGTACCACAGCACCGGGCCCACCCTTTCCTAACCTGTGTTACTTCTTTATTAACCCTTTGCTAAGGCATTAGCTGCTAGCAAAGATATAACTAATGACAATACAGCACACACACATTTTCAGAGGTGAATCTTTGAGTTGAGTTTGGAGTAGGAGCGAGGGTGACATTTTCAGAATGAGCAAAGCTGGGGCTTGTGTTGTTTTGGGTCACCTTCTTCTCCCCCTCTTTTACCTCCATTCAAGTGGCAACTGGTCTTCCTCAAAAGTCATCTTATAAGTAACGGTGAGCATGAGTATAATAAAATATTAACCAGAACTCTATTGAAGCAAATTCATATACATTTAAGCTGTTGCTCAAAATTATGACACAAGCTTCAGCAAGATTCTGAAGTGTCTTCGTGTATATGCACATGCAAATCCTACATGGTATGGGAGTAGGGTTGAGCTTTTAACATGTGAAAGTTATAATAATTATGGTATGAATTAGAAGAATACTTGATTAACTTGAAAATATCATTCCCCAGCCATACTGGCTAACAGTTTATATACTTACTGTAAGAAACACAATACAGTCTTTATAAATTTTATCTACAGTTTATAAATATTCCTCCTAAAAATGTGTGTTTGAAAGTAAAGATTTCAGCCAATGAATGATTTTATTATAAAACATTTTTTAAAGTAAAGAAAAAGAAAAGGTTAAAACACAACTTGTTAATTCTACAATTTTGAATCTCTAGTATGACCACTGCCAACGCTGGAAGCATTAAGATGTGATACACCAGGTAGTCAAAACATCTGGCAGGCGACTTTTTTACACTTTTCATTGAGATCATATGTTTCCAACATAAGCGAAAACTGTTAAAAGGTTTTATATATAAAAACTACCTTCTTGATTCATTTGTAGGATACCCAGTATGCAATTCTTACACTAAATGTAAAGGTGAACCCCAGCCTAGTGTGTCCTTATTTTTAGTTTCATTTGTTTGTTTGTTTGTTTTTTGAGACAGAGTCTCCCTCTTGTCACCCAGGCTGGAGTGCAGTGGCACAATCTTGGCTCACCACAACCTCTGCCTCCCAGGTTCAAGCGATTCTCCTGCCTCAGCCTCCCTAGTAGCTAGGATTACAGGCACCTGCCACCAAGCCTAGCTAATTTTTTCTATTTTTAGTAGAGACTGCGTTTCATTATGTTAGCCAGCCTGATCTCAAACTCCTGCCCTCAGGTCATCCACCCACCTTGGCCTCCCAAAGTGCTGGCACTACAGGCTTGAGCCACCACACCTGGCCTAGTATGTCCTTATTAAGAGATCTAAGTCCAGTCTGAATGTTTGGGGCATCTAAAAGTATAACTTCAAACATGCTGATAGAGAAAACTAGTTACCAAGTTCCTGA